AGTCCCCAGTGAGGCCCACGTCAAACACATACGAACAGGCACGTTCCCTCGAGAAATTCCGTACAAGGTCATTTTTGTCCCTCCCCACAACTTGGGAGAGGAAAGCGATTGGCCATAGTAATGGTGCCTTAAACCGCCGCCTCCCTCGATCTCTATGGCTTACAAAGCATCTTCTCCTCAACATCATCTGCAGTTGCCAGGGCTCTCACCTCCATTTTAGCAATGAAGACACTTAGCCTGGCTCCCAGAGAAGCGACGTTCAGATAGCTACTGAAGGTCTGAAGCAGCACTCGGACCCTGGTTTCCAGGCCCCCAAGTTTAGTGCTAATTCCTCTGTACTCTACTATCAGGGCAAGAACACCTCTGCGGAAATTGTGTTTTGAAGAAAACTCCAGTGGGGGTGGAGAGTGGGCAGGGAGGGCCCCAAGGCAGATGGCACTTCAAAAGGATTGGGAACAGTGGGGGCTTCCCCCCGTGCCCCAAATTGGCACCCTCCATTCCCTGAAGTTTTGTCTACCACTCACATTCTAATCTTGCTTCTTTGACACTTGGAAGGTTTTTTTCTCACAACAACACAACCCTAGGAAGGGGTGGGGGTGGGGTTGTCCAAAGATGATCACAGTAGTCACAAAGGTGAGACTTAGGAACATAGATCGAAGATTAAGTTTTAGCACTGGAAACAACCTTGAGGTCATTGGGTTCAACCCCCTCATTTTACAAAGGAGGAAACTGAGCCCCAGAGATGAGGAATGATTCACCTGAGGTAGTAAGTAGCACAATGGAGATTTGAACCCAGGCCCTCTGATTCCAGGTTCATACTCTTTCCTCTACACCATGGACCTGAACCCAACCTGTCCTGTCCAGAGTTCTCTCTTGGTTTGGCTTAGGAGACCGATAATGATCGTGGGTGTGGGGCCAATGTCCAAGTGGTTGGGAGACCAAGCCTCTCTGAAGTTAGGCCTCACCCGAGGGGAGAGAGATGATGAAACTCTCAGTAAGGTAGTAGGCCAGGGCCTCTGCTAAGACCGTCCCTGGTGGGGTAGGGAGGTTGAGGTGGTGGGGGTGGGGAGGTTTGGAAAGGCCACTAAGGGAAGGTGATAGAAAATCAAAGGGATTGCACATAGATGAGATCGGATAACTTTAATCCTCTGGAGCCCTACGGGGGTTTGGTCACAAGACTTCCTTAGCCAGCTTCCAGTGGAGAAGGAAACTTTCCATAGGAACTCCAGGGTCAAACTCTCACTGCCAGTCATGCCCCTCACCCTCTCCCCACCCCAATTTAAAATAGCCTCTCTTCCTTCCTTTCCTCCCTTCCCGCGCCTGGCCTTTTGGGGCCGTCTTTCCATGAACAATTTCAATCCCACGTCAGAAATCTGCCGCTAAGGCGCTGCAGTGCCTAGGTCTCTTTCCTGCAGGATTCTGACCCCATCAAGTCCTTCCCTTAAGCTTCCTGATGGAATTTTCCTCCGTTCATCAAACCCACGCAAGAAAGTAAAGCTCTGGCTTCCTCCCTGCCTCTGGGATCACAGATCCAGAACCAGGAGAGATCTTAGAGACCTTCTAGCCCAAATCCCTCATTTGGACTAGAGTCCAGGAGAGTTGGGGGACGAGGAAATGAGCGTCCGTCAGAAGCAGGTTTGAATCCAAGTTTGCTAAATCCTCTCCACCCTTTACCACATTGGGAGAATCGCTATGAGCAAAGTGAGAAGGCCTGGGTTGAACCCCATCCTTGCCACTAATTAGCCATGTGACAACTCCTTGCTCCTTTCTGGGTCTCAGTTTCTACCAAATGAGAATAAGTCTGAACTAGCCGGTCACCAAGTTCCAGGAGTCTACAAATATTCATTAATAAGGTGTTGGGGAAATCCCAAAGGCCCCATCTCATCTAGTCTCACCTGATGTGGTGATCAGGGGTCATTTTAGGTCCCAGCTTGTTACTCACCTCCCTCCCAAGATGCCAGATACAGTATAAAGCTTCTCAGCTCTCTTCCCTCTATCAGCTGGCTCCTGGTCACACTTGTGACAGTGCCCCTATTGAGACTGGAACCTAGCTCCTCTGTCTCCAAATCCATCTCTCCTGCTACCCAGTACAGTTTCAGGGACTTCCCCAAACTGTTCTTTGAGGAGGCAGCTTTTGCCCCCAGGGCATCTGTGGGGCTGGCATCAGGATGTCCACAGAGCCCTGTCACAGTGACTGTGGAACTGTTGGGGTGCCCATGGGGCTGGTAACAAGGTTCTCACAAGATCAAGGTTGGGGGTCCCCAGAGACAAGTTGGGGATCTGTGGGACTATGGTAGGGTCTCTGTAGGGCCTGTTCATAGGGCCAATGCCACTGTGCCCCATGGCGTAGTGGTACCATAATACCCTCAGGGCTTGTCAGGGTGCGCATTGATTAATGTCACAGTCTTATTAGACTAGTGTCCTACAATGGCCAGTGAGATGGAAGCCTGAAATTCTCTCAAGACCTTTCTCTGGTCCTTCTTGCCATCACCTTAGGGGCTGCTGCCTTTCCCTTTGAAAGCCTCCTTAAGCCCTGTGCACTCTTTCCTTACCTGCCTATGGTGGGCTCCTGCCTGATATGTTCACTGAGCCTGGTTCACATGGTCCTTCTGGTCCAGTGGCCCCATCACCACCCAGAGGATGGATGAGGCTCCTGGGGCCTTGTCGCTGCCTCAATTTGCCTTCTCAGCACCCAGCCCACGTCCAACCCCAACTTCCTGCCTCCTCTTGAGAGAGTGAGTGAGAAAGAAGACGGCAGCCAACCCCCAGAACCCCAGTCAGGCCCTCCCTCAACCACAAGCCAAAAACAACAGAGCCAGCCACGCCCCTCCCAGCATCCAGGGGCCTGATAGTAGGGAGCTGTGGTCACAGGGGTTCCCAGGGAATTCCTAATATACATGGGTGGGGAAAGAGGGTGACACACCATAGAGAGTATTTGATGGTGAAATTGTCCTGGATTTGGTGTCAAAAGACCCAGGTTGCAGTCCTGTCTCTATTACTTGTTAGCTGTGTGACTTTGGGTAAGTCACTTCCCCTCTCTGGGGCTGTTTCCTCTTCTATAAAATGAGCTAGTTGGATAAGATCAGGGCTTCTTAGCATTTATTGTGTCATGGACCCCTCTGGAAGATTGGTAAAACCTATGGACCCCTTCTTAGACTTTGGTTTTTTTTTAAATCACCATTGAAAGAAATGATAAATGTCACTTAGAAGGTGGTAAAAATAGAGATGGCTCTTTCCCATTGAAATTCATGGACCCCTTCCCCCCACCCGGGAATCCAGTCATGTATCCCTTGATAGTCTGGGGACCACGCGCTGAGATGATCCCTAAGGACCTTTTCAGAATGAAAGGTCTAGGGTTCTGGGGAGAAGAGGCCGTTGGGAGCATACAGGCTGAAGGGGGTGGGGTTGAGGGAGGTATCACAGATGGCAGTAATCTCCCGCTCTATGCCCCCCACCCCCTCCTCGCATCAACTAATTTGCCATTGGCTTGCAGTGTGAGCTTATCTTGGAGTTTCCATTTCCAGCTTTGCAAGATAAAGGATTGAACTCAGAAAATCACAGATTTAGAGATGAAAGACCACATAGGCCACCTGGTCCAAACAGTAAGTCAGTCAATAAACATTTATTAAGCAAATACTGTGTGCCAGACACTGTGTTAAGCATTGGAGATACAAAAAGAAGCAAAAGACGGCCCCTGCCCTCAAGGAGTTTACAATCTAATAGAGTCATAGGAATTAAATGACTTGCCTCAGATTGTACAAGTAGTCGGTGGCAGAGCCAGGATTTGAACCCAGGTCCTCTGATTTCAAAATCTACATGCTTTCCACTGTATCACCCTACCTCCTTCAGACAAAATGGTCTCTAAGGGTCCTTTTAGCACTGACTTTCTTTTGGTGACACCAAGCGGACACTGGCAATGTTGTGGGAAAGATGCACCCCCCAAAAACAAGACGTTCCCCATCTATGTTCATTGCCGACAGAAGACGGGAATCCCAACTCATACACCTAGCTCTGTAAGGGGTAGAGATGGACTGCCTGCTGGCTGAGCCCCAGCTGGACCCAATGAACCCTGCCATGGCTGATCCAAGCTAGAGTGACCCATTCCTGCGAGACAAACAGCTCCCGCCCCTTCACCTTGAGCCAAGCTGTGAGGAAAGGAGAGGGGTGGGTGACGGGGCGGGGGGGGGAGGATACCACAGACATATTGTTGGGGTTTGAAAGGTGGAAACTGATGCTGGTTCTGCTCACCTCAACTGAGGCGGGGGAGGGGGGCAGGAAATGGGGGAGGGAAAGGAAGCCAAAGACGGAAAGTCAGACAGAGAGGTGAACAGCAGAAACCAAAGCTACAGGGAGAGAAAGAGAGAGAGAGAGAGAGAGAGAGAGAGAGAGAGAGAGAGAGAGAGAGAGAGAGAGAGAGAGAGGGAGGGAGGGAGAGAGAGAGAGAGAAACAATGGAGGCTTGAGATATAAGTACAAAAGGAAAGACAGAAAGGGGAGGGAAGGAGGGAGAGATAGATAGATAGATAGAGATAGATAGAGAGAGAGAGAGTGACAGAGATGGAAATATACTGAGAGACTGAGCCTGGAGAAACAGACAGCCATATGCACACAGAACCAAAAACGAAAAACCAGATGACAAGACAAAGAACAGACACAGAGCTAAATGAAAGAGAAAAGCTAGGGGCTTCTGGGTCAGAGACATGTCTTCCTCAAAAACATGCACACCTGGTGTCCTCTATCTCTCCCACAGTGACAAGGTATTAGAGTAGCACTGGGAGACCACACCAGGGAGCCTGTTAGCAGGCTGGGAAGGTGTTTATTGGAGGGCCTGAGAAAGTGTGAGTGTTCCCACTAAACCCTGAGGGCACTCCATCTAGGTCTGGGGTGGGGAGCTTTCGGCCTTGAGGCCACATGTGGTCTTCTAGGTCCTTGGATGTGGCCTTTTGACTGAGTCCAAGTTTTACAGAGCAAATCATTTTATTAAGGGGATTTGTTCTGTGAAGTTTGAATTCAGTCAAAGGGCTGCACTTGAGGACCTAGAGGGCCACAAGTAGCCTCGAGGTTCCTCACCCCTGATCTAGGTACCTGGGGAGAGCTGACTCTGGAAAGGCTGGGCAGTTCTCTCCCTCCCTCAGGCCGGAGGTAGCAGAGCACCAAGGTCTGGGGTCAGACACCCCCGGAGGACAGCAGAGGATGCTCAGCTGCCTGCAGCAGGGCCTGCCTGCTCAGCGGAGGGTGAACCGACGAGTGCTGATGTTCATCCGGGTGAGGCCGATGTCCCTGAGTGGGGGAGCCAGGAGTCGAGTGGGCCGGAGGGAGCCCGGGCTCAGCAGCTCTGCAGCCTCTCCGAAGCCCAGGCCCTCGGCCTCGGCCTCCAGCTCAGCGTCGTCCAGCAGCTCCTGGTGCTGCCTGCAGATCTGTTCCACCTTCAGCTGGTGCATGCGAGACCGCAGCCGTAATAGCTGCCCTGCCAGCTCCCGGTCCTGGGCCCGCATCTGCCTCTGGGGGGAAGTGGTCCAGGTTGGGGATTCAGGGCTTTCTGGGCCCCGCCTGCCTGCCCTCCATTTTGGGCAGGCAGCCAGGGATGCTGTGGGCAGTGGCGTCACTCCCCCATCCATCCTGTGTCTAGGCACTTGGCCAGCCCCTTGAAGCTCCAACAGTCTCTGACCCTGAAATCCCCTCCTTCCTGGCTCCTCCTTCCTCTCAAGCTCAGCTCCACCCTCTCCTCTCCTCTTCCTCCTCTTCCAGGAAAGATAATAATAACTCCCATTGCTATGGCCTTGGAGGATTTACAAAGCACTTCCTCACAGGGGAGGGGAGGGTTGGAACTGGGACCCAAGTCTTCCAACCAATAGTGCTATTTCCCAAGCCTCTTGAATGGATTCAGGGGCTCATCTGTTCAGTCTGTCGACAAAGATTTATTAAGCACGTACTGTGTACAAGGGACCAGGCTGGGGGGGGGAGGAGACCCTAACTCTTTTCACTGAATATTGCACAATATTATTGCATTTCTCTCACCTTATCTCCACTGAACTCCGGACTTTAGCCTCCCCTAAGTCCATACAGAACTTCGGATCATAGACTATGAGAGGGCTCGTTTGACAGGCAAGGAAACTGAGGCTCAAGGTGGTGAAGTCATTTGCCCAAGGTCCCATAGTTAGGGGAAGAAATTTGAACCAGGATTTGAACTAGGGTGTCTAACTCAAAAACCAATATTTTTCACATATGCTACCCCATGCTGCCTGTCCCAAAAAGGGGCTTCCTGAAGCTGGGGACTCCCTAAGGGCAAGGCTGCATTCTCTCCTCCTCAGCCTGGGGCTTCCTTCTGTGCATCTCTCCCTTAGATGGGGGCTCCTTGACAGTGAGTTCATGCTACTCTCTACCCAGAACGCCCACGCCCCAGACTTACCAGCTCTTCTCTGAGCCACTGCAGGGCGTCATCCAGAGTGTGAAAACCACAGATGGCTCCAGGGCCTGGTTCCCCCAGTTCAGTCCTGGCATGGCCTCGGCGCCAGGCTTGGCTTTGGACCCTGGCTGTCCACTCGAGGTATGAGGGCCTTCTGGTCTGTAGTTTTAATTTGGCGGTGAGTGCCTTCAAGCTGTCCAGGCTCTCTGAGTCCTCTTGCTCTTCCTCCTCACCCAGGGCCCCAAATGCCAAGGACCCCAGAGACATGGTGATGGCAGCTCTGGTAGTAACAGAGAGGTGTGATGTGTATGTCTGTCCCTCGGTTGAGAAGGACAGATGGATAAGTATGCTGAAGTAGGAGGTGAGTGTGTAAGATTGAGTATGTGGCTTATTTCCCTGGAATCCTATAATGGGAACTCACGTGACCCCCAGAGGAAAGGGATGGGGAGTGGGGGGGGGAGAGCAGGATCTCAGTTTCTCTGGCCTCAGGGTCAAATTTAATTGTTGTTGCCCAAAAGGAGACACCCTCTTCTCTGAAAGGAAACTTCTCCAGGGCCAGGGAGCCACTGGGGACATGGACTCTGTCCCTTGGCATCTACCTACTTCCCTTCCCACCTCTCCCAACCAGATTGGGGGGTGGGGGATGTCACTGAGGGAAACATCTCCAAAACAGCTTGGGGCAGGGGCAGAGTGTGGGGTCTCAATGAGGAAGTGGAGAATGTGGGATGCCTGACTGGGGGTCACAGAGATAGTATCCCAGACTTGATGAAGGCAGAATGTGAGGTTCTAGGCTAGAGAAGAAGGACAGCCTGGGAAGGCTATGGGGTCTCAGCCTGGAGGGAGGCAGTGGGAAGTGCTGGTTGGGTTGGGATACTCAGAGTAGGTGTCTAAGATGCAATTCTGGGAGGAGATAGGCTCTGAACCTTGAAAAGCTCCTGGAGAGGATTGAAGATGGGCTCCCCTGTGGTACCCTAGGCATCAAGGACCAAGACAGTCAAGTGAAGAGCCAACTGCCCCCAGGGGGCGCTCTTTAACAGATGACCACCAGATAAACTGAAAGATACAGTCAGCATTTAAGGTAGCCCTGAGGGCACCCAACGTAGAAGACTCAATTTAAGTTCTAGGAAGGACCTTGGAGACCATGGAGTCCATCCATGTCACTTCAGAGAGGAGATTGAGGAGCTTAGAGAACTTGCCTGAGAACCTAGGACCAGCTAGTTTCAAACAAACAAACTGGAAATGAAGTGCGTGCCCATTGATTGGGAGATGGTTGAACAAATTAAATTGCGGTATATGAATGTAACAGAACATCATTTCCCTGTAAGAAAGGAGGAATATGAGGAATTCAAAGAAACATGAGAAGGCATGTATGAGCTGATACAGAGGGAAGTAAGCAAAGCCAGGGAAAGATCATATACATTGACAATAAGAGTGTAAGGAAAAAGACCCCTTACTAGGGTTTAAGTGAAGGGAAGGAGAAATGCATTTCTTCCCCTCCTCCCTTTCCTTGGAGAGGTGGGCAAAATATCTTCTACATTGCCTGTCACGGTCAAGAATGTTATTTTGGCTTAACTGCATTTCTTTGTTATAAGGGATGGTGGGGGGAGAAGGATGTATCTGGAAATGACTGTGATGTAAAAACGAGTAATATCAAAAACACATTAATTTAAAAATTCGTGGCAGGATTTCTGACCCAGGGCTTCTGATTCCAAGGCCAGAGGGCCGACGTGAGCCAGGGAAAGGAGGAGGAGAATGCACTACAGTTCCCTGGCAGATTATTTCACCGAGCAAGGCGGAGAGGAGGAGAGCTATGTTTGGGAGTGGGTAGGATGGGTGCACTGGGCTCGAGAACATCTGAATCCCTAATCAGGCTCCAAGCCCGAGCTGTCCTTGCCCTCCACCTTGAGGACAATGTCAAACCTGAGCACCCCAAGCCTCCTAGATCTCAGGAAATCCTGAACCCTCCCCTCGTGGGGCCACCTTAACCAGCCCCAAATCGCAAGCTTCAACCGCCCCGGGGGCAGTTCCTGTCCTCCCTCCTCCCCCCCATCCGTCCGGATCCTCTGGTTCCCGCCCCGGTCCTCCCTTTGGGCGGAGAGGACTGCCTGTGACCTGGGGCTGCAGCGCCCTGGGACCCCGCTCTTTTTCTTTGCGCCCCACAGCACCCCCAGATGCCCTGCGCCCTGGGCTTCCAGGATGGAGTTCTCGGAGTTGATCCGCACTGGTCGGGCGGAGGCGTTCCTTCTGCCCGGTCCTGGGCAGTCCCCAGTGAGGGGCACTTTGTGTATCACCAGCCACCACCTGCTGCTGTCCGCGGGGCACGGAAGCCCTAGCGACCTGTGGCTGCTGCTGCGCAACGTGGATGCTGTGGAAAAGCGGTGAGAAGGGCTCGAGACATCGTAGCGTCTTAGCTGGGATCAGGGGAGAGGGGAAGGGGTCCGGGCAGCGTCGTAGTTGGGCGCAGGGGAGAGAAGTGGACTGCCGGGATCAAGAGAGTGCGGCGGGGGGTGGAGAGGACGCTACTGTGTGTGTGTGTGTGAGAGGGTGCTTCCTGGGGGAGGAGAGGCTAGTAGCGCTGAGGCGTATCCCCGGAAGATCGGGAACTGCTTAGCTGGGAAATACATGGGGACCGGAGCCAGCCCGCCGGCCGACGTGTTGGATGTTGGCTGGGAAGGCACATGTGCCTCGCCAGGTCTCAGTCCTCCGTCCAAGGAGAGCTGAGCTCCCTTGGCCATACTCTCTTATGCGTCTTCCACTTCCCTCTATTCCACTGACCCCTCATATGTCTCCTTTTCCCCACTGACTCCCGTCTTATCCTCTCACTAACCCACCGATTCCTGTGTCCCTTCATTGAATCCTACAGTGTCTCCTTCCCCAAAGACCTCTCTGATCTCCTTCCCCACTGACCTGTGCGTCCCCTTCCCCTACTTGTTCTGTGTTCAATACTGCCCTCCGTGTCTCTCCACTCTTGTTCCCCTGCTAGCCCCAGCCCCTCCCCGTGACCCTCCATTGGTCCCCGAGTCCTATACTAAACCAGCATCTCTCCCTCCTGGCTCCCACGTGTCCATTTAGCCCACTGACTTGCCCCGCAGGGCGGCAGGAAACTCGGGCACCATCACCCTGAAATGTAAGGACCTGAACGTTCTGCAGCTGGAGATAGAAGGCTTGGAGGAGACTCTGGACATCGCTGGCTCCATCGAGGTGGGCAGGGAGTGCTGGGATTTGGGCAGCAAAGCCACTTCTGAGCACTGCCGAGGTGGGGAGGGCAGAGGGTGGCAAGGGTGAGAACGTCAACAAGGGCATGGAGAGGTTTTGCATGTCGAGCCTGGGGTCCCCAGAAGTGCTTTTTGCCTTTCTCCTCAAGGCCTTGTCCTCGCTGGAATCTGTCACCACTTCCTATCCATTCTTCTACAGGCCCCAGAGCCTGAAGCTGGGAGAAGCTGAGGACCTGCACCCCCCGGATCACTTCTATCAGCAGGTGGCCCTGGAGGTAGGTGCCAGTGACGGAGGGTTGAGGGCAGTTGCAGGAGGAACTTGGGGAGACTGGGAAAGGGCTTGTATTTCTGCCTGTGGTGGGAGGGAGCCTTCCCTGGATGGGAGCCTGAGAGACTCCCCTCGTCCTCACACACCGTTCTTGCAGACAAACGGTTGGCGCCTGAGCACAGTGAACAGGGACTTCAACGTGTGCGCCAGCTACCCGCCAGCCTTGGTGGTACCCCGCGGGATAGGGGATGAGGTCCTGGCACGAAGCGCCCGCTTCCGCCAAGGTGGCCGCTTCCCTGTGCTCTGCTACTATCATAGTATCAACGGAACAGTGAGTCTGGAAACGGCTCCCGGCCCCCCCGCTCTGCTCCCAGCCCCAAACTGCTCAGTGCCCTAACTATCCCAGCCTCGCCCTCACTCTGTGCCTCCACTGGCTCCCCTGGTTCCACCCAGACACCCAGTGCAGACACCCACTTTTAAGTGGAATCTCTGCCTCAGCCGACCCCTGCCGAGTCTAGGCTTCTCCCCGCCAGCCCTTCAGCCCTTCAGCCCTTCAGCCCTTCCAGGATCCCTGGCCCCAGGTTGCCAGATGGATTCCAACCCTGTCCCTACCGAACCTGACCGCCAGCAGTCTCCCTGGTATCCCGAGCCTCCTCAGTTCCCACCTTCCCCTCACTCCCAGTAGACTCGGGTGGCCTTCCCCCCAGGTCCTAAGGGGATGGTCCCTAAGCGAGGCCACTCATCCCATTCTAAGGTGATGCTCCGCTCCAGCCAGCCCCTGCAGGGGGCCAATCGGCGACGCTGTGCAGAGGACGAGGAGCTACTGAAGGCAGCTCTGGCCCTGGGCGGAGGGCGGGGCTTAGTGTTGGACACCCGCTCAGCCCAGGCGGTCAAACAGGCCCGAATAACCGGGGGCGGCACGGAGGCCAAGGCTGCCTACAGCGGCTGGAAGCGGCTGCACCGGCCCCTGGAGAGGTAAACAGCTAGGTCGTCCGACTTTATGATTTCTTCAACAACTCTGGAAGCAACGAAACGGGATGATGGGGCTTTACACAGGGATAAGAATTTGTGATACAGGGACAAGGGATTCCAGGTGGTAGTTCTACTTCCATAAATCAACTAACATTTTTATTCAGCGCCTATGTGCCAAGCACGGTGCTAAGTGTTGAAAATACAAATTAAAAAAAAGGTAGTCCCTGTCCTCAAGAAGCTTACAATCTAAAGGGGAACGACACACAAAAGGAACCTGAAAGATGGCGGGGAGGAGCATGATTGGAGAGGCATGCTGTCAGATGGCTCTCCTGGGGTGCCCTTCTTAAATGGAGCTTCTGGGAGGAGCTCCCCACCCTTCAGTTAGAGGGGCCGAGGGCATAGGGTACATTCCAGGGCTGATAGGATCTAGCGAGATGAAGAGGTTCCTAGGGCATGATGGTGAAGTCCAGGAGGGAAATGAGCAGCAAATCACTACGTCAAAGTAGCACTGAAGAAAACGAAATCAGACCGGGGAGGAGAGGACAACAGGGAGAGGCCTGAAGACCCGGAGTAGGGCTTAAGGATTAGGTTTAGTGTGGGAGAAAGGAGTGGATTCTCATCCACTTGTTTGTTGAGTGGAATTTCAAACTTGTCAGTCTTTGAAGTGCTATCATTCTGAAAGGAAAGGCAGCGGGATCTAAAGAAAGATCATGTCGGTGAGATGGAGAGGGAAGGGGCCAGTAGGCTGAGGAATTGCGTGGCCACAGTTAGATCTGAGGTCCCTGAAGATGATCCCAGGAGATGGGATGGAGAGGAAGAGCATCAGCCAG